TGCAATGGCATGTTAAAATGCAAAATAAACTTAGGGACAAAATCCACAAAGGGATTAGGTATTGCAATGCTCAGGATTGCAGCATCTAATTTTTAGATGTCTTCTTGCCACACAGTGGAATCCACAGCCCAGCGCGAGACATCCAGACTTTGTATACAAGGAATGGGGAGAAATCGGTGCCTAAGAATGAAACCCCAAAAACCAGCACACTGAGCAGGGAACCACTTAAACTAACCAGCAGTAGATGCCAAGGAGAAGGGTGTGGAGTAAGCTCCGCCCTCTCAGGGTGCTAGCCCCGTAAATCATTTTGCAGATCTTGGTGTCCCCTTTGTTGCCATTTTGATAGTTTCAGAGGCTCGTTCTCCCAGTTATACTGCAATGGCAGGAAAAGAGGCAGTGAAAAGATACAAATACAAACAACTCCATGCATTTGTTTCCTGTTCTTTGCATTCGGTACTTAATTTTCTGATACAGCGAGGTGACAGGGAACTACCAAGCAAATTCACTTAACATGAGTGATTTAAAATCTCCCAGATGATGAGAGTTAAGAAGCACAGGGAAAGGTAAGATGCCTCGCTCAACCTCATTAAAAGAAACCATTTGCTCATGGGAGGCTTTTAGTAGGAAAGATCACATCCTTCCTTTGCTTTCACATGCAGAGCCCCTCCTGAAACCAGTTGCGGTTTTGAGGAAAATTCAATCTTTTAGCATTCATTGTTGTGATGGAAGGTTTAGACCTTTACTAAGTGCAGAATGAGAAAAGGAACTAAAGGTTAGTTTGACATTTAAAAACTTTGGGCCAAATGCTGCTCTCAGTTTTACACCCCTACAAATGTGGAGCAATTTCACTTAGGTCAAATCCAGGGTCACTCTATTATACCGTGTTCAACCACCTGGCCAGAGAAAGAGAGAGAATTTCTCTGTTGGCCAGTGTCTAGGGCGCTCACCTAGGAGACACAGCTTCCAGTTCCTGCTCTGCCGGGTATTTAAGGATGTCATGCAAAGTGGAACAGCTTCACCAGGAGACACTGACAGTTCCTCATGCCAGAATGTCCCTAGCCCAAGGGCTAGGACACTTTGTCTAGCAGTTGGACACATGGGTGCAAATCCTTGCAAATGGTATTTGAATCTGGGACTCCTACTTGCATATCCTAAACCAACCCTGGCCCATGCATGCATAACTACCCTTTGTGATAACCCTGATGCGGCAGCTGTACTCAAAGGCAGCACCTGAAATCACCAACCAGACCAGGCCCCATAGGCAGGGAAAATGCTTAGAATGATGATCCCATAAGCTAGACACTTGGCACCAGGACTCAGCAAGCTTTGTGCTTGCCCACTGGCAGGAATGTAGGCGCCAAAGGGACTTTACCAGCAAAACAGGTGCCTTATTAATTTAGGGACCTACAGCGTGAGGCAGCAACTCAGCAAGGGTTTTGAGGATCTAAATTGTGGATTTAGGTGCTAACACTGCAGCTAGGTGCCTAAATTTTTTTGTGGATCTAGCCCCCAATGTCCACATCTTCAAGACAAGTAAATCAAATATTGTTCGTGTACAAATAAGAAGCGTATGACAAGTAACATAAGTGGAAAATGCACCTTCATCTGGAGTCAGTTTTGGGCTTCATCAGTATCACAAGAAAGTTATAGGAATCCAGTCTCTCCTCTCAAAAATGACTGCACCCACCCAGCCTTATCATTCATCCCCTGGTGAGTATAACACCATTTGAAAGCAGCAGTAATGCTGCAAGTTCTACATATAAGGCCATTTTTTTGGGAGCAATTGGTTATAAAGGGGCACGGGATGAAATAATCTCAAGTTTTTACAAACTGTCACTGGCATGAATGTGTTAAGGATCTAATGACTTTCAGTATTAGTATCCTCTCTATGTATATAGCCAACTGGGTTATATGTGAAAAGAAAGCATAACGGCATATTGTACCCATATTGTACAGTATATAGTGGAAGCTTCCTATAGCAAAGTCACTTAGAGGTTCATTGTAACTGGAATCGCAGCTTACACACTGCAATCCACTTGAATAATTCACCGGGGCCCAAACCTGAGAGGCGCTGAGCTCCTTTCACTGCTCTCAGTGGAAGCGGAAGGGGCAAGTACCTTTCAGGATCATGTCCCAGAAACTGTATTTAAAGAGACAAGCAGACTGACTATCCCATCCTACCAAAAGAACAGCCACTGTGACCTGCATCCTCATAGAATGAGCCACAGTGGAGCACTGCTGACTGCAGTCCTTAGCCTTTCTTGATGCTGTCCAGACTCTAACGAAGCCTTCACTGACCGCAGCCAGCCTGGGCTTTGTGAGCAGCAGAGACTAGCTTTTGCTATGTAATATCTTTTCTCTTACCTGTCAAAAACTACTGCGGCATAGGCTGGCTCTGCGAAGATGACATCTCCAGCCCAGAATTCCTTGGCTGCCTTCAACCCCCGGCCTTTGCCTTCCGAAGTGAACACTTCCACCGTCTCCATTTCCCCTTGTGTCATGCCAGAGAGACCAGGCTCACAGCACGGGTGTCCCACAGTGAGCCAGGTCCCTTGTCACTCCGGCTTTTTCAGTACCTTTGGGTTGCCACCAGACCAATTCTAGAAATAGACAGTCCCCATCACACCCACCTACACAAGGCTGTACCATTTTCCACTTGTGGGGGGAGGGTTTTACTTTATATAGTTCTACGCCCAGAAATCCAAGGGGTTGTTCTCGCCTGACCAGCACTGTTTGTTTCATTAGGATAAGCCCATCTGAAAAACACATTGGAATTGTTTCCCCAAGCTGAAAGTATTTGTATATGCGATGGCCACAGCGCTTAATTAACTCTCTTCCATTGGAAAGAGCACGTATTTTCTTTACCAGGGTATTTTTAGAAACCACATGCTTTTGTCTGTCAGGAGCCAACAGCTGAGACAGTGGTAAGTGGTGGACTGGTGTGTGTCCCTGGCGCTGTCATCTGGTCTCCTTCAGAAAGGAAACAATGCTGCTTTCTTTTCTCTCCTCGGTGAGATTTACAGTAGGGGAGAAAGGGATGTAGGCAAACACATGCCTTGAATGCAGCTGCAGAAGACAGGCCTGGAAAAGTTGCTTTTCAAATGTCACCCAGCAGTGCGTAGAAGCACGGAGAATGTGCTGGAAGGACTGCAGAAACTTGGTATTTCTTTCAGCAGCAGGCTTGATGGGTCAGCTATTCCCTCAGGTTTTTCATAGGCTAAGCTCAATGAAATAACATGCCAGAGGACGATATTCACCCAAGTTCCTCTTCACTACATTGAATGGATGAATTGGGTCCACAGAGCCTGAAAGGAAGAGAATATTACCAGAGAGTTCAATTACATTAAAAATGGGAACCAGTTTCTGCTCTCCCATTCCAGCAACTGTAGTAAAGCAGTCGTCAGTGGGTTAATTAGATTACTCAGAGTATTAGGGGCTGGAGCCATACCCCTCACTGGTTAGTTAGTGGGACTTTCCCCCAGCGGTGTTGGAGGGGCATGCATTTAATAAACCAGCAAGTTCCTAGCCTGCAGTTCTATAAGTGGTCTTATTTTTGCTGCATTGAGTGATCCCTTTCCACACCTCAGTAAGTGTAAATCCAGATCAACTTCACTGACGTTGGTTTAGTTGCTTTGCATTCACATTGCTGTAGCGGAGGCAGAGAATTTAGCCCTGGATCCTCAATCATCTAAATATCGCTATTTAGAATCGTGCAGTTCTTTAGAAACTTTATACTTCTAAACTTCATGGTAACTTCACCATGCCAGTCATGTTGGTATCTGAGCCCATTTCATCTCAGGGTACGTCTACACTACCCTCCTATTTCGAAATAGGAGGGTAGTGTAGACGTACCCTGAGATGAAATGGGCTCAGATACCAACATGACTGGCATGGTGAAGTTACCATGAAGTTTAGAAGTATAAAGTTTCTAAAGAACTGCACGATTCTAAATAGCGATATTTAGATGATTGAGGATCCAGGGCTAAATTCTCTGCCTCCGCTACAGCAATGTGAATGCAAAGCAACTAAACCAACGTCAGTGAAGTTGATCTGGATTTACACTTACTGAGGTGTGGAAAGGGATCACTCAATGCAGCAAAAATAAGACCACTTATAGAACTGCAGGCTAGGAACTTGCTGGTTTATTAAATGCATGCCCCTCCAACACCGCTGGGGGAAAGTCCCACTAACTAACCAGTGAGGGGTATGGCTCCAGCCCCTAATACTCTGAGTAATCTAATTAACCCACTGACGACTGCTTTACTACAGTTGCTGGAATGGGAGAGCAGAAACTGGTTCCCATTTTTAATGTAATTGAACTCTCTGGTAATATTCTCTTCCTTTCAGGCTCTGTGGACCCAATTCATCCATTCAATGTAGTGAAGAGGAACTTGGGTGAATATCGTCCTCTGGCATGTTATTTCATTGAGCTTAGCCTATGAAAAACCTGAGGGAATAGCTGATCCATCAAGCCTGCTGCTGAAAGAAATACCAAGTTTCTGCAGTCCTTCCAGCACATTCTCCGTGCTTCTACGCACTGCTGGGTGACATTTGAAAAGCAACTTTTCCAGGCCTGTCTTCTGCAGCTGCATTCAAGGCATGTGTTTGCCTACATCCCTTTCTCCCCTACTGTAAATCTCACCGAGGAGAGAAAAGAAAGCAGCATTGTTTCCTTTCTGAAGGAGACCAGATGACAGCGCCAGGGACACACACCAGTCCACCACTTACCACTGTCTCAGCTGTTGGCTCCTGACAGACAGAAGCATGTGGTTTCTAAAAATACCCTGGTAAAGAAAATACGTGCTCTTTCCAATGGAAGAGAGTTAATTAAGCGCTGTGGCCATCGCATATACAAATACTTTCAGCTTGGGGAAACAATTCCAATGTGTTTTTCAGATGGGCTTATCCTAATGAAACAAACAGTGCTGGTCAGGCGAGAACAACCCCTTGGATTTCTGGGCGTAGAACTATATAAAGTAAAACCCTCCCCCCACAAGTGGAAAATGGTACAGCCTTGTGTAGGTGGGTGTGATGGGGACTGTCTATTTCTAGAATTGGTCTGGTGGCAACCCAAAGGTACTGAAAAAGCCGGAGTGACAAGGGACCTGGCTCACTGTGGGACACCCGTGCTGTGAGCCTGGTCTCTCTGGCATGACACAAGGGGAAATGGAGACGGTGGAAGTGTTCACTTCGGAAGGCAAAGGCCGGGGGTTGAAGGCAGCCAAGGAATTCTGGGCTGGAGATGTCATCTTCGCAGAGCCAGCCTATGCCGCAGTAGTTTTTGACAGGTAAGAGAAAAGATATTACATAGCAAAAGCTAGTCTCTGCTGCTCACAAAGCCCAGGCTGGCTGCGGTCAGTGAAGGCTTCGTTAGAGTCTGGACAGCATCAAGAAAGGCTAAGGACTGCAGTCAGCAGTGCTCCACTGTGGCTCATTCTATGAGGATGCAGGTCACAGTGGCTGTTCTTTTGGTAGGATGGGATAGTCAGTCTGCTTGTCTCTTTAAATACAGTTTCTGGGACATGATCCTGAAAGGTACTTGCCCCTTCCGCTTCCACTGAGAGCAGTGAAAGGAGCTCAGCGCCTCTCAGGTTTGGGCCCCGGTGAATTATTCAAGTGGATTGCAGTGTGTAAGCTGCGATTCCAGTTACAATGAACCTCTAAGTGACTTTGCTATAGGAAGCTTCCACTATATACTGTACAATATGGGTACAATATGCCGTTATGCTTTCTTTTCACATATAACCCAGTTGGCTATATACATAGAGAGGATACTAATACTGAAAGTCATTAGATCCTTAACACATTCATGCCAGTGACAGTTTGTAAAAACTTGAGATTATTTCATCCCGTGCCCCTTTATAACCAATTGCTCCCAAAAAAATGGCCTTATATGTAGAACTTGCAGCATTACTGCTGCTTTCAAATGGTGTTATACTCACCAGGGGATGAATGATAAGGCTGGGTGGGTGCAGTCATTTTTGAGAGGAGAGACTGGATTCCTATAACTTTCTTGTGATACTGATGAAGCCCAAAACTGACTCCAGATGAAGGTGCATTTTCCACTTATGTTACTTGTCATACGCTTCTTATTTGTACACGAACAATATTTGATTTACTTGTCTTGAAGATGTGGACATTGGGGGCTAGATCCACAAAAAAATTTAGGCACCTAGCTGCAGTGTTAGCACCTAAATCCACAATTTAGATCCTCAAAACCCTTGCTGAGTTGCTGCCTCACGCTGTAGGTCCCTAAATTAATAAGGCACCTGTTTTGCTGGTAAAGTCCCTTTGGCGCCTACATTCCTGCCAGTGGGCAAGCACAAAGCTTGCTGAGTCCTGGTGCCAAGTGTCTAGCTTATGGGATCATCATTCTAAGCATTTTCCCTGCCTATGGGGCCTGGTCTGGTTGGTGATTTCAGGTGCTGCCTTTGAGTACAGCTGCCGCATCAGGGTTATCACAAAGGGTAGTTATGCATGCATGGGCCAGGGTTGGTTTAGGATATGCAAGTAGGAGTCCCAGATTCAAATACCATTTGCAAGGATTTGCACCCATGTGTCCAACTGCTAGACAAAGTGTCCTAGCCCTTGGGCTAGGGACATTCTGGCATGAGGAACTGTCAGTGTCTCCTGGTGAAGCTGTTCCACTTTGCATGACATCCTTAAATACCCGGCAGAGCAGGAACTGGAAGCTGTGTCTCCTAGGTGAGCGCCCTAGACACTGGCCAACAGAGAAATTCTCTCTCTTTCTCTGGCCAGGTGGTTGAACACGGTATAATAGAGTGACCCTGGATTTGACCTAAGTGAAATTGCTCCACATTTGTAGGGGTGTAAAACTGAGAGCAGCATTTGGCCCAAAGTTTTTAAATGTCAAACTAACCTTTAGTTCCTTTTCTCATTCTGCACTTAGTAAAGGTCTAAACCTTCCATCACAACAATGAATGCTAAAAGATTGAATTTTCCTCAAAACCGCAACTGGTTTCAGGAGGGGCTCTGCATGTGAAAGCAAAGGAAGGATGTGATCTTTCCTACTAAAAGCCTCCCATGAGCAAATGGTTTCTTTTAATGAGGTTGAGCGAGGCATCTTACCTTTCCCTGTGCTTCTTAACTCTCATCATCTGGGGGATTTTAAATCACTCATGTTAAGTGAATTTGCTTGGTAGTTCCCTGTCACCTCGCTGTATCAGAAAATTAAGTACCGAATGCAAAGAACAGGAAACAAATGCATGGAGTTGTTTGTATTTGTATCTTTTCACTGCCTCTTTTCCTGCCATTGCAGTATAACTGGGAGAACGAGCCTCTGAAACTATCAAAATGGCAACAAAGGGGACACCAAGATCTGCAAAATGATTTACGGGGCTAGCACCCTGAGAGGGCGGAGCTTACGCCACACCCTTCTCCTTGGCATCTACTGCTGGTTAGTTTAAGTGGTTCCCTGCTCAGTGTGCTGGTTTTTGGGGTTTCATTCTTAGGCACCGATTTCTCCCCATTCCTTGTATACAAAGTCTGGATGTCTCGCGCTGGGCTGTGGATTCCACTGTGTGGCAAGAAGACATCTAAAAATTAGATGCTGCAATCCTGAGCATTGCAATACCTAATCCCTTTGTGGATTTTGTCCCTAAGTTTATTTTGCATTTTAACATGCCATTGCAAGAGCTGCTGTTTTAAAATGTAACTGCAAACACAAAGTAATCAGGACTTGAACTATGCCTAAATAACACAATAGGTAGTGCTACATAAATGCCAAAAATAGATTTGACGGATAGACTGTTGAGTAATCTGGACTTTCCCTCCCCTTACACTGGCCCTGACAGAGAGCCTATAAAAGTCAACAGGGTCTTTCCATTGTCTTCAGTGGGCTTTGGGCCAGTCCTCTTGACTAACTTACTCTGCAATTAGTCCCACTGGAAAGAATGGATCTAACTGTTGAAACAAGTAGCACTCACTGGCTACATCTATAGTGCTTTTTGTAGTTGGAAATAAGATATGCAATTTGAGATATGCAAACGGCGTACCTTATTTCAATCTTATTTTGAAATAGCTTATTTTGTAATTTGGTGCTGTCTACACAGCGCCAAATTTCAAAATAACCCGCTATTCCGAAAAGTCCCTTATTCCTCGTGGAATGTGATTTTCAAGGACATCGGAATAGCGAGCTCGAAATAACGGGCTTGCTGTTAAGATGCAGGACAGCTATTTTGGGATACTCCAGTATCCTGAAATAGCATTGCAGTGTAGATGTAGCCACTAAAGATAGGGAGTGGCAGCATCTGTCCCATTGAATTCCATGGAAAAACGAAAGCAAGTTCAGAAGTAAGACGTGATTTATTGCTAAGCCTAGTCATTTGATGCCAGTTAATAATTCCAATCAAAGATGAACTAGGCTGGTTCCTAAGGATCCCGATAATGTACTTAAAAAAAAAGAAATAATTAAAATACCTCTCAAATTATGTTTTGTCTCAGGCAGAGATAGCAGTAGATTGCACAGCATGTTCTAACCACATCTTTAATATAAAGTGGGTTTATTTAGTTTTTTTAAAATATGTGCAAAATAAATGGACAATGCCCACTCAGACTGTTCAGTAAGAGTGTAGCTGCATTGCAGATTCATCTAGCAACGGATTGTTATGCTATGCACTGTCCTTGGAGAACTGACCTGGGGAGCCAACTATGTTCATGTTAAAGATCTAGCTCTATGGCATCTTCAGTGGGATCTTCCATAATAACATAAGAAGGGGCATACTGGATCAGACCAAAGGTCCAACTAGCCCAGTATCCTGTCTGCTGACAGTGGCCAATGCCAGATGTCCCAGAAGGAGTGAGAAGAACAGGTAATCATCAGGTGATGACTCTACTGTCATCCATTTCCAGCCTCTGACAAATAGAGGCTAGGGACACCATTCCTACAATCCTGGCTAATAGCCATTGATGGACCCAATGTACTGAACTTCTCAGGCTTAAGTGTTGACACAGTGTATAACAGCGGTTTTCAAAGTATTGGTTGCGACCTATGAGGCACTGGGTGTCATTGTTGCTGGGAGGTCAGGTGACCAGTGAGGGGTGCCAAGGCAGGCTGCTTGCCTGTCCTGGCACCACAGACTGTGTTGTGCCCTAGAAGCAGCTGACAGTAGGCTGGGCTACCTGAGGGGAGAGTGGGGTAGAGAGCGCACAGGGTTTCACACACTGCCCCTGCCCCGAGCAATAGCTCCGCACTCCCATTGGCTGGGAACCTGTTACTGGCTGCTTCTGTGGCTCAGCATGGTCTGTGGTGCCAGCAAAAGGCAGGAAGCTGCCTTAGCACCTCTGATGCATCCTTGACTGGGACCCGGTCAAGGTAAGTCCTTCCTGCCCCACCCCTAACCCCCCCCAAACCGGGGCCCCCTTGTACACTCCAAAGCTCTCCCCCTCAGCCCCGTGGGCATCAACAGTTTTCTTCAATTGAGTCGTGAGAAAAAAAAAGTTTAAAAACCGCCAATGTATAAGGTATCTGCATAATAGTCTGTGTCTACATTAGATTATTGTTCTTAACATGTCCTACCTGTGTTGCTACCCGTTCAGCTCCCCCTGTGCTAGTGTAAACAGGCTGCTGCATTTTTACTACCACATTATCTCCAAGGTAAAGCCCATGAACGGGGGTGTGAATTTCCAGTGATTATCCCGTTAAAATAAACTTTCTGTTCTGTTTTCCCATCTAACCCCTTTTTTATTTTTTGAAGGATAATCCTTTGAAAATTGCAATTATCATTGGGACCCCACCTACCTAGTTGTTTTCAGTGGAAGCAGAACATAGTAATCCCTAGCTATACACCAGTGGTATATTTATAGTCAGACCCAAGGGCAGCTGTTTCAAAGCCTTGCAATTTTTGAAATAACATAGTTTAAAAAAAACACAGTTCTATAAATAATTCCAACATACCCCTCCTCCCCTCCAAATGTTATCTGAATAGAATAGTTTATGTCACCTGTGGCAAGGCAGTAGATCTTAAGTTTGCAATGGGATGGATTTCCTAATTTTACAGACCTTTTCCTTCCCAAACTTCTATCAACAATCCATCTAGTGTGGTAGTCTGTTTCTAAAAGTATTTCAGAGCAAAGGGAATCTCCTTTTGCCGATGTATGATGCACCTAAATGTGCTGTATTATACCAAAGAAAAAAACATTTTTTTCTCTAATTCCAGCTGGTGAGTAGTTCCAACCCTTGTTATTTGTACTACTGTACAGCAGTGGTCTTCAACTTTTTTACACCCAAGATCACTTTTTAAATGACAGACCAAGCCAAGATCTACCA